ATCTCGATTCCACCGTGGGCTCCAGCTGGTCCACTCCTTCGGCGGCTTCAGCGTGGCCCACAGCAGCAACTTCTCGCCGGGGCGCACCGCCTCCTCGTCGTCGAGAGGCGGCCCATGCGCGCCCGCTGCGTCCTCGCCCTCCGTGCATTCGAAGAGGTATAGCTGATCTGCGTCGAAGAAGCCCCCGGACAACGCATCCGAGACCCTCAGCCTTGCCTTGACCTCTCCTGCCTCGAACGGGCCCCCCTTGAGCAGCACCCACTGGTCGCCCTGCTGCGGGACGAAGACTCGCACTGGGCTGGCCCGGGATGCCTCGTCCTCAGCTTCCCTCGCCTTCTTCTGGCGGCGGTTCTCCTCCTCCCCCCCCCTCTTCGGGGCTCTCATCCCCGTCGCCGTCATCGCCACCACCTCCGCCAGGTCCGCCTCATCCACGAGCGGCAGCCTCACGCGCCTCACGCTTGCGCGCTTTGTTGCGCTTCCAGCCTCCTCGCTTGCCGCCCCGCTTGCCGCCCCGTTTCTCGTCGCCACCACACACGATCATGGTCGGCTCGCCGTCGGTCTCCACCTCCAACTCGTCCTCACCTTGGCGTTCGCCCTTTGAGCTCCCGCCGTCCTCCTCCGCCACGTCTCTCTCCGGGTAGCCGTCCTTTGAACGACCGCCTCCACGCGGGCCCTTTGAGCCCTCGTCAATCTTGACCTCCATTGAGCTTCTCCATTTCGGGTGGGGTAGGCAGCCCGAGACGTTGCAGCAGCTGCGAGGGGCCTCCAGCCAGCTGTTGTCGTGATTGCAACTGCATCCGCTCCGATCCTCCTCTGTTCGGCTGGTGATGGTGCTCCTCCTCAAGCTGCCGCACCTCTCGCCGTGCTCGCTAACGGCCCCGTCCTCGGTCCCAGCGCTCTCTGCCGCGCAGGCCGAAGGCCGAGATGAAGGGGGGGGTCTTGTTCCAGGGCGTCAGAACGCCCGGCCCGCGCCACCTCGCTTTCCAACCTCTCCTCCAAAGCCCGCGCCTCGGCGTCCATCGCCGCAATCTGCTGTTCCAGCTTCTCGGGGGCGGTGCCGGCAGCCGCTGCTTTCAGCGCGGCTGCCCAGGCAGCGCACAGCCGCGGCGCATGCTGCCCCGCGCGCGCTGGGCCCTCCGCATGCCTCGCAGTCCCAGCCCGAAGCCGGCGCTTCCCAGCTCCCCCTTTACTGCAGCGCTGAGCTGGGGGGCGCCGCTGGGGACGCGCCCTCCACCCTGAAGGTTGGGCGGGGCTTGCGCGCTGATGGTGAAGCGGAGCTCGCCCTCGGGGGCCTTCCCGAAGTAGAGGGCCCACTGGTTCTCAGGCAGAGCGGAGTAGTGCCGCTTGGCGCGGAAGTCAACCCTCGCCCAATGGAAATTGCCCGGGGCGGCCCGCGCGATGAGCTGGTTCACGCGGAGCAGCTTGTCGTCCGGGGGCAGTTTGACGGCGACGCCGTCTTCGCCAAGGCCGTGGCACCCGCTAACTTCGCTCAACTTGGTGCTGAGGTTGATCAGTTCGCTCGCCTCGGCCTTGCTGAGCCGCATGCGCGCGTCGAGGTTGTAGGCTTCCACTTGGGCGTCCGTCAGGTCGTATGGTACGCCGCCCTCCAGCGTGCGGTGCGCGCGCTTGCCCGTGCACCTCCTGGCCAGGATCAGAGCGTAGGGATAGAGCCCGAGCGATGCCAGCCACCAGGTTCGCTTCTGATACCGATGCTGGGGCTCGTCCCGAGGTGCAAGTCCCCACTCGCACATGTCCATGGCGAGGACTCGGGTTCCAGTCGCGTGCACCAGAGCTCTCATGCAGGGGCGATCCCAAAGCTTGGGGTACCGGCCGTCCCGCGCTGAGGACTCGATGAGGAACTCGCGTCCTGCCTCGTAGCCCCGCTTCGCCCCTATGCACGCGAACTCCCCGAACACGTTGCCGTCGATCTCGACTTGGCACTCTCCAGCCCCGTCCGGACACTCGAAGGTTCTCGTCCCTCCTGCTGCCAATTGCCAGGGGCAGTGGCTCACGCAGGGTGGCGCGAACTGCAGCGCGTTGGCCTCGTCGGGGCCCGGAGGCGCACTGAACTCTTGGTACAGGCGCTCGCGCACCAGCGGGTCGCGGATGTCGAACTGCGGCCTGGGGTCTTTGCCAAGAAGAGGCTGCCCAAAGTATTCGACGGACTCGCTGGTGGCGATGCCCGCGTTCTTCATAGCCTGTGTCCAGCGCCCTGTGCCGGCGAAAATCTCCCGTGTCCTGAGCCCCCACGCGAACGTGGGTCGTGAGCGCAAAGGCTCCAAGTCCCTGAAGTCCGGGCATGCCACCTCGGTGGGGAGCTTGACCACGGCAGGTGCACCGCCGGCGGCTCTTCCACGCTGCTGTTGCTGCGCGGCGAGTGCCCTGGCGTGCTGGCACTGTGGAGGTTTGCTGGACACCAATGGGCTGCCATCCTCCTCGGAGGCAAGGTATGTTTCCCAGCCCATGGTGGGGAGCTCCTTGAGGTCCTTCCCGTTCGTGGCCCAGGTGCGGATCAGCTCGTCTGCCACTCGCCGACCCTCAGCGCCGGACGGGGGATGAAGAACCCGCATATGCCCGCGATGGATGATCACGTGGCACTCCTGCTTGGGTTCTCCCGCCGGGAGGACTGCGTCAATATCCACATGACCCCAGTGATCCGCCCACCATACTCTGAGCACCACCTCCTCCAACGCCTCGCACGGGAATAGGGCGACGCACCTGAAATCTTTGTCGTGGTCGCGATGCACCGCGTCATGGATGTGCATCCGGACCTCGGCCCCCCTGGAAGATATCCAAGGTGGGGCATCGGCGAGGCCCGCAGCAGCGTCGGTAGCCTTCTCCAGGAGGTCTCTGCGGATCTCAAGGGCCAGGTCCTTGACTTGCTGGGCGTCAGGTGGCGCTTCGAGCTGCACCCAGAGCTTGGCTGCCGCCAGGTGGAGTGGGAGACACTGACGCTCCTCCGAAACTCCGGCGGGCACGTGCAGACGCTTCGAGACGCACTCGTCGAGGGGCAGTTGGTCCTGATAGTCAAGGTAGTGCCAAGTCTGGCCCTGCACCGTGACGGAGCCCTGCCCCACCGACTTCTCAGCATTCCACCGCACTGGTGTTATGATGACGTCTGGGTCAGCCCCCAGGTTGCCAGCCTTCGCCCCGATGCGGTCCAGGAGCTCGCTAGCCTCGGCAGCCAGGGTGGGCCCGCCGTGGCGCGTCGCCTCAGGAGTACCTGTTCGACTGAGAGCTCTTCCTCGCGCCCGCGGGCGCAGGCAAGGCGGGCCAGGACATGCGACCGCATGTAGCCACTGGCGTGGCTCACGGAGTCGAGCACCCCGCTCTCTTGGACGGCCTCGAGCAGCTTCCGCTGGGCCAAGGCTCCCTCATCTGTGAAGACACTCGTCCCAACCAGGGCTGGGCTGTCGGCGCGTGGGTCCTCCAACCAGGTAGCGTCGGGTCCCTGGGCGGCCTCGCGGAGCTCCGACTCGAGCTCGGTGCACTGAACCTCGGCGCACTCGTCGGGCGGCGCCCAGCCTGTCTTGGTCGGCTGGCTCTCCGCCGCCCCCGCACTTGCAGCCCGTTTGCCGTCAGCTTCGGTCTTAGTTTGGGCCCGCAGCTGCGCGATCCGCCCATTGACCGAAGCTGGGTCGATCTTGGCGGCGTTGCGGAGCCCGCCTCGCCTGAGCAGCTGACGCTGCACGGTCCAGTGCACGTCCTTCAGGCCCTTGATGAGCTCGTGTGAATGCGAGCACCCTTGAGCGCCCTTCTTGCAGCCTATCCAGGTCGAGTTGTCCCAGCAGAGCGGCTTGCCCTGCTTGTCGCAGGGCGCGTGCCGGACGGAAAGCTTGATCTCCTGTGCGTTCAGCCGCTTGCCCGCAGGGCAGGCAGCACGCGTGGAGTTGGTATTCGGCTGGGCCTTGGCCTTGGGCTTCTTCTGGGTTGCTGCTCCTGCTCGTTGTTCCTGTGCCTACGCAGCTGGTTCGTCTCTCTCTCTCTCTCTCTCTCTCTCTCTCTCTCTCTCTCTCTCTCTCTCTCTCTCCTCCGACCTCTCCGGCTTTGCCCGGGGCGCCGCGCACCCCGCGCATCGAGTCGCTGAGGACGGTCTGAAGGTAGCGCTGTTGCCGAGGACGCACGACCTCCTGGCAGTAGCCCGTGGGGAACTCGAGGTCGAAGACATTGGGGAAGACGAACGCTGGGCGCCCGTCCGCCCTGGGGGCGAAAGCCACCATCTTGAGATCCTCCTTCCGGGGGTTGTCTGTCTGCAGCACGCGTAGGAGGCCTCGCTTCTTCTCTCGGAGTCGTTCACACCAGGTCGACCACAGCTCCTCCCACAGCTCATAGACGAACTTGGGCGGGAAAGCGCGGTCGTCCTTCTCGCACTCCCGCGCGAGGGTCTCCAGGCAGTCCAGGCGCTCTTTGATATGCTCTCGTCCGAAGACGAGCCCGAAAAACTTGGTCATGTTCTGGGCCTGCCGCTTCCACTGGTCAAAGACCACGGGGGCCCTGGGCCTGGGTTCCAGCTTAGTGTCGTGCGGCGCGCTGCGCGACCGTCTTGCACGTCGGGAAGTCCGCCACGGAGGCCGACCACGGAGCCAAGTTGTCCAGGCTGCTGCCGCCGAAGCTGAGCGAGGCGCAGGCCATCGCGATCCGGTTGGACACTGTCGTGGGCGTCTCGACGGCGAGCATCAAGGCCATGTTCCGCTCGCAGGTCCGGCGCAGAGCATAGAACAGATCGCGCCCAAGGACCTCGTCGCAGACCTCCACCGTCGGCTGGCCACACCCGCGCGCCAAGTAGACGTCCAACTCCTCCGCTCTCCCCAGCGCAGCCACCGTCCCTCGCTGGGCTGCCTTGTCACCTTGGCGGGCACTGGCGACCCCTTCCAAGGCGTGGAGCATCCGCGCGGTGTTCGCATCCAGGGGCGCTCCGGGGTGTGCGAGGCCGAACGGGTCGCTGCCTCCGCTCTCCTCCGGGGCTCCTGCTGCATAGCGCGCTGGAGCTGCGGTCAGACCTGGGGGTAGGCCCAAGTCGCCGATGTGCTGGTCGTAGCGGAACAGGGCCCCAATGTTCGGAGCCTGTGGGCGGACGACCGGGGCCAGCCCAGCCGCGGTAGCTGGGTGGCCGGCGCCCCGCGGCCCAAAGGCGAAAGTTGACGTGGCTGCTGCTGGCGAGTGAGGCGGCCGCGCTTCGAACAGGGGCGCGCTTTCGGCCTGGGTGGCCGGCGGCCCCTGCGAGCGGTGGCGTTCGGGCGGGAGCTTGAGGAGACCCTGAATGCTGCTCGGCGCCGCCTCTGGAGTCTGGGGTCGTGAGGGCACCTGCTGATGTGCCTCCCAGCTGCCGATGTGCCCATCGAGCCGCGCGAGCTCCTCTGGCTCGGTCGTCTGCTGCTTGAGGTGCTGGGCGTAGCGGACAAGGCTAGCGAGCACTTGCTGGGCCTCCTCGTCGAAGCCGGCGGCCACGCTCTGCACCGCCGCCGCGTCGCTCGACCCGCGAGCCTTCTCTTCCAAGTAGCATGCCATCATGTCCCCGCTGTCGTCCCCTTGATGGCTCTCTCCTGATACTGGTGCCTCAGAGCTTGCCGCCCGCCCGCCCTCGGCTGACGGGGAGCGCGAGCCACGGCGCGTGGACCCAGCTGGTGGCCTGGGCGAGCTGCTGCGGTCAAGCCGTTGCCAGTGGCTGCGCAACTTGGCGTCCGCTTCTGTAGCTCTCGCCTCGAAGCTCGGACTGGGCGCCACGCCTCCCTCGGGGCGCCACCTGACCAAGCTGGCCACCTTCTCGCGGAGCAGCCGCCAGCGAGCCCCGCTGAGCGGCCCGGCTCGTCCGCCCACGGGGAGCCCGTGCCACGCCGCTAGCTTATGCCAGACTTTCTCGGGTATGTTGGTCGCCGAGACGCTGATGCCGAGCTCCTCGCAACCCAGGGGCGCGTGGTGGAGCATCTCCTCGATGAACCCCGCTGGCAGACGCCCTGAGGGTCCCGGGGCAGGCGCACGGATGACGCCGTCAGGCTTCACGAGAAAGCGGATGGTTGCGCCAGTCGGGTCCTCCACCTCGAGAGCCATTGCGCCGTCGAGGTAATCAGCAACTGCGCTGGCCGCGGCGGCGTCGGCCGCCCTTCCCTTGAAAATCATCCACTGCGCCCTTTCTGGCCACTGTACCCTCGCCCGAACGATGAAGTGCCGCCCGAGGGGCATGTGCGGCGGCGTGGGCGGCTTGGGGAACTCCGGAACCGGCGGCGCCTCGAAGCGCACGCTCGGTGGCCCAGCCGGCGCGGGGACAGGGTCGCCCGGGCTGGCGGGCGCCTCTGGAGCAGAGACCGCCGGAGTGGAGCGCTCTGGAGTGCGACTCCGGGCTGGCGCAGCGGCGGCACGCTCAGGCGCGCGGCTCCGCGGAGCAGGGCTCCTCCGGGCTCGACGTCGCAGGCCCGCGAGGAACCCGACGCCCGTGGGGGTGTCGTAGAGCGCTTTGGCGGCGTCGCCTCCGAGGTGCTGCAAGCAGAGCGGGACCCCCGAGGCCATGCCCACCGCTTCGCGGAAGCACGTCACCTGGGAGCACTTCTCGCCATAACGTAGGGCCATGTAGATCTGCTTGTGATGCTCGCAGAGGCAGGCTGTCGCGTTCCCCTCGCTGGGAGGTGCGAGGTCCGAAGCTCGGCCATCCTCCGCCAACGGCACGGTCGGATCGCCGCATGCGGCGTCTCGACAGCCTTCAGGCGCCAGCGGGCGCATCTTGCCCTTGATCATGAGCCCCACGTTCACCGCCTCGCAGGGGTCATCCTCGACATCCACCTCGGATTCGGACTCCTGGTCAAGCAACCTTGCCACGGATCCCTGCACGCCAGGCTCCGCGTCGCCAGTCCTGCGACGGCGGCGTCGCCGGCGGCAGATGCACGCCCCGCAGCACGGAAGCCATGAGAGGACGTACAGCAGCAGCTTGTAGACGAGGCCCAACCACCTCCAGAGCCAGACGAAGATCCGGCACGGCGTGAATTTTGAGTAGTCGCCGAGGTCCGCGATAGCCTCGTTGTCGAGGGCGGCATACTCCTTGCAGTGCAGCTCGTTCTCGCGCCCCTTGCATCCGGTACAGCTGGTGGAGCGACACAGGTGGAGCCAGCGCGGATCGCGCTGCTCCAGCTCGCGCCTGAAGCCTTTGTCGCTCGCGCCCTTCACGGAATCATGCTCAACCCACAATCCCTGGCGATTGATGCGCTCCGGGGACTTCATGTTGAGCTTGAGTCGCGCGACCCGGTAGTCGACCCTAATCAGGAGGTCGTTCTGGCCGCGCTTGGAGCCCTTGCCCTCCTTGATGCTCTTGCGGTACCAGTCAGTGGTCGGATCCGCACCCACGGCTGGGCCGTGCCACACCGCGTCGGCGAGGGGCGGCGCCGCCGGCGGGGCCAGCTTGTCAAGCTCAGCTTCGCCAGGCGTCTTGCGCCTCGGGCAGGGGCAGCACGCCAGCACCAAGCCGCATGTCCAGGCTGCCCAGCTGCAGGGCGCGAAGAGCGCCCTCAGGCTGTGGGCCAGGAGCGCGACCACGCCGGTGCCGAAGAGGATCGCCACGAGCCCGGCGATCAGCGGCCACGCGGAGCCGAACAGGTAGAGGCCTACCTGGTCGGCCATGTACAGCACCCAGCCGCCGTCGGAGCTCAGCCAGCCTCCTGCCTCTCGAGTCGAGAAGGCAGACCTGGAGCTTCCCGCAACCCTGAAGGTGCCCCCGCCCCTCCCCTCGGCAAACCAGTGCGTGCGGTTGCCGATGTCTTTCCAACTGATGCCGAAAAGACCCCAACCCCTGATCCAGGACGATGGGTCCCCGTCGGAGGGGTCGGGGGGGGTGGGTCGGGCTCTGAGGAGGTGGGTCGGCCGGCGGCGCGGAGCGCTCGCGCGGCGGCCCCCCTCCAGCGCTCCTCGCTGGAGCGGCGCGTCCGCTGGCGGAGCGAACGTACCCCGACCGGCAGCGCGTCCACGTGCGCGGGGAAGTCCATGGGCCCGTCGAGCCAGAACCCCTTCATGTCCACGCTCGCCTCGTCGTCGTAATAGGCCTCGAGGTCGGGGGCCGCCTGCCCGCGCACGAGCTCGGCGCTGGCCGCCTCCACCATCCCCACGAGGATCACGAGCGGAGCTGCAGCCCAGCCACGGCGCCTGCCAGCGGGCGGCGGCGCCGGGGCCCCGGGGCAGCTCCTCCAGGCGGGCCCCGGCGCGCGCGCGCGCTTCGCCGCCCTCGCCTGGTCGTGAGCCGGCGCCGGCGCTGGCGTGCGCCTGGCCGCCCGCTCGGCGGCGGCGGGCAGCTGCCATGCCACGGCGGCCGCCCCTTCGCCCCCTGGTGCTCCGCGGCTGGCGTGAGCCGGCGCCGCTCGGCGCCCGGGCTCGCCGCCGTCGCGCAGCTGCGCGCCCTCGGGCAGCAGCGCCGCCGCCCCCCAGCCGCGCGGCGCCAGGCGCGGCCCCATGCGGCCGCGGGCGCCCCCCTTCGGCCCCTGTCTCGGCCCCGAAGGTCTTCCGGCCCCGGTCCCGGGGCCCGGCCTTAGGCCACCTGAGGCCGACCCCCAGCTTGGCCTTCGGAAAGGCTTGAGCCGCCGAGCGGCGGTGAGAGAGAAGGAGCGAGAGAGGGCAAGCAAGAGGCAAGGGCAGGAGCGAGGGGACCGCAGGAGAAAGCCCGCGCCAGTCCTGGAAACGGGGAGATCCATTAGTTTTACCAAACATCCTACCTTGGGTATGTCCGGGGGTCAGAGAACGGGGGCGTCTGTAGGAATGGCCCCAGAAGTGGCAGGGAACGCAATTAAAACGGAAATCAGTTTTCGTTTTGGTGTGAAGGTTTTTGGGGTCAATTTGTTGTTTTGGATTTTGTTTGGGTTAACCTGTGGCTCCAGATTCGTAGCTGTTGGCGTGCACTTGGAAGTGTCGTTTGTTCTTCACTACTGCATATACGTCGGTCTTCGGGGTGGGTTGTTCGATGGGTTAGGCGCGGCTGCCGGCTTCGACCAGTGCCCAAGGGCGTCGGTGTTCGGCCTTGGTTTTGCAGCTGTGTCTTGCGATGCAAGTTGGTCTTCGGCCTCGGTATTAGCCTTCGGCCTCGGTCTTGCGATGCCGTCCGTCTGCGACCTCGGCTCACATGGTAGAACAACGAAGATCGACTTCAGATTTGCGACGGGAAGCGGTTTGGATGTCCTGAGTTCTGCGTGCACCATCGCTCGCCGACAGCGCGGTTCTCCTTGGACGCGTGGCTCGTTCTATGGCCCGCGGCGCCAACGGCCTCGTTGCCGCGGAGCACGCGAGCGCGCGCTCGTCCGCGCGAGTCCTATTCGCACCGCGCAGCGCGCAGCGCGCGAACGCACGGGCGCGCGTCTTAACAGCGAGGTTTCGATGTCACGCGCTGTTTGCGCGGGGACTCGCGTTGCACAGCCAAAGGAAATGGGCGAGTCTTCTGAAAAGAGCCCCGCGTGCGCGTCGCCGAGTGCGTTTCGCGTTGCGCCCACTGCGAGAAGCAAGTTCCCCCACCCCGCCGGTCCAGCACTTCGGGCGGCAACTGTTCGAGCGATGAAAACGACGATGGTGGCGACGAGGACGGCGATGATAATGCGAAGGAGACAAAGATTAGGCTGTCACATGTGCGCGCTCCCAATGAATTTCTTGAAGAGCCCTCATGGAGTTCAAATGGGCCGTATCAGGGCAGTCTTGGGTTCCTGTGGGGCCGTCTTGCGGGCCCCTTGCGGCTTTCCTGGGTTGCTCTGGGCTCCGCGTGAGCCGTCTTGGGTCTCTCCTGCGGCCTTCGTCAGGGCGTCGCGGGGGCGCCTGGGTCCGTCGGGGATCGAGAGGCCCTCCTGGGCCGTCTTGGATCCCTTCGGCTGTCTTCGTAGGCTGTCTTGGGGCTCTCTTGGGGCCGTCCTGTGCCGCATTCTGGAGGTTTCTCGGCGCATTGTCGCTGCGTCTTGGGCCGTCTCAGGGCAACGTGGGGGGCTTCGTTGGCCGTCTCGGGCTGATTGAAGCCAGATGCGATTATGTCCCCAAATCAATGAAGCGCTGTATCAAAATCAGCGAGTGTCGTACCCGGGGTCTTTCGGGGTCCTTTTGGAGCCCTCCTGAGCCGTCCTGGGACGTATTGGGGGCTTCTGAACCACCTTGGTTCCGTGCTGGGCCTCCGTGTTGCCGCGTTGATTTGTCTCGGAGCTATCTTTGTCCGTCCAAGGGAGAACCTGGGGCCATCTTGGCGGCCGATTGCCACCCGGGGCCGTTGTGGGAGACTTGGAGAGCCTCAGGGAGTCAACGCGGTCGCCTGGGAACCCTCGGGAGAAGGAGCGGCGCGCGGGAAAGCGCGCGGCGGGGCGGGCGAGCCCCTTGAGCGAATGTGAAAACCGGCATTCGCACGCTCCACTATCGCGGCGGCGCGGCGCCGCCTGGCGCGCGCGAGCGAGATTGAGGCGGCCTCTGCGCCGCCGCGCGCGCGACGGCTAGAAGGGCGCTCGCGTTGGATTTCCCGCGCGCGCGACGGCCAGGCACCTCCGCGCGCGGAAAACGCAGCGCGATCGGCCTTGCGTCGGACGCGCCACTGAGGCCGCTGGTGTCTCCCAGCGCGTCGTGGCCGAGTCTCGCCCGCCATTCGCCTTCGCGGCCCCGTGCGAGGGAGGCGGTTGCGCAATCAAACCTGGGGCGGTCAACTGGCTTATGGGCGGTCGATCCAGGTCGGTCCGCGCGCGGTTAGGCGGGCAACTCGGGCGGTCAATTCGGGCGCCCAACGCGCGGCCGGGCGGTCAACGCGCGGCTGGGCGGTCAACCTGGGCGGTCAATTCGGTCGGTAACGGCGCGGCGGGGCGGTCAACGCGCGGCTGGGCGGTCCACCCGGGCGGTCAATTCGGTCGGTCAACGCGCGGCGGGGCGGTCAACGCGCGGTTGGGCAGTCAATCCGGCCGATCAACTCATCAAAGCGCGCGTCGGCCGATCAACTCGGCCGATCAACTTGGCCGACCAACTGGGCCGATCAACTCGTCAGCGCGCGCGCGCGGTCAACTCGGCCGTTCAATTTGGCCGATCAGCTGGGCCGATCAATTCGGCCGATCAACTGGGCCCATCAACTCGGCCGATCAACTCGGCCGATCAACTCGGCCCATACATTCGGCCGATGAATTTGGCGGATCAACTCGGCCGATCAATTTGGCCGTTCGACTTGGCCGATCACTTCGGCCGGTCAACTCGCCTGGCCCTTTTGGTCGGTGCTTTCGGGCGGCCAACTCGGGGGGCCACCTCGGGCCGTCAATTCGGGCGCGGGTGCCGGCGCGCGCCGCGGATGCCCAGGCGCCTCCGCCCGCGCGCGCCGCTGGCGCATGGGCGCGCTCACCCGCGCTCGCGGTGGGCGCCCGAACGATTCCATTCAGAGCTTCCCAGGCCAATGAGCTTCGCGTGGCCCGGAGTTTTTGGGCCCGTTTGGTTTCGGGCGATCCAGTATCGCCCGAGCTATCGAAGCCTCGGTCGACCCAGAGCCTCCCAGACCCTTGCGCTTCGAGCGATCCAGGGCCTACTAGACCCTTGCACTGGGGCCCTCTGGCGGTTGCATTTCGCGCAAATCGACCGACTGGCGCCCTTCGATCATCCTTCGCTGAAAACCGCTCGAGCACTGCGCGAGATAGGAGTGCAGCGCAGCGCGCGTCGCCCAAATCGCATGGCTGACGCCAAGACAGGGGAAGCCCTGGCAATCGAAGTTCGCAACAGCTGTTCGGCTGACGCCGAGGCAACCGCTCGGCCAACGCCTCCACGCCGCCGCGCGCGCGGCAGCGCGGAGCCGACGTGCGTGGAGGCATGCAATGGGGGCGGCCTCTGCGCCGGCGGCTCCTGCGACGCCGCGCTGTTTCTGCGACGCCGCGCGAGCGGGGAGGAACGCAATGGAGGCGGCCCTGGCGCCGCCGCGCGCGCGGCGGCGCTTGGCCGTCGCGCGTGGACAAATTGCGACGAGACCAGCTTTTGCGCCGTCGCTCGCGCAGCGCGCGCCGCTGGGCCGTCGAGCGTTGTGGCATGCAGCGGGGTGGGGGAGGGGGGGGGGCCTCTGCGCCGCCGCGCGCGCGCGGCGGCGCTGGGCCGTCGCGCACCGAAGACGCGCCGCTGGCGGCCTTTGCGCCGCCGCGCGCGCGGCGACGCTGGGTCGTCGTGCGCGGAGAAGCGCATCGCGAGCGGCCATTGCGCCGCCGCGCGCGCGGCGGCCGCTTGCGTGCGCGACCCCTGTTTCGCCGCTGCGCGCGGCGGCGCTGGGCCACCGCGCTCAGAGAAAATGCGACGAGACCAGTTTCGGCGCTCCCGTGCGCGCGGCGGCGCTGGGCCATCGTGCATGGAGAGGCGAAATGGAAGCGGCCTCTGCGCCGCCACGAGCGCAGCGGGTTGGGGCCATCGCGAGCAGAAAAGGCAACGCGAGCCGTTCCCGTGCCGCTGCGTGTGCGGCGGCGTTGGGCCGTCGTGCGCGGAGAATTTTGATGGCGGCGACATTTGCGCCGCCGCGCGCGCGGCGGCGCTGAGCAGTTTGCGTTGAGAATGCGATGGGGGCGGCCCCATGCGCCGCCGCGCGCGCGCAGGCGCCGAGCCGCGCCCCACGGGAAACGCAGGCGTTGGGCTGTTGCACGTGGAGGAATGCAACGGGGGCAGACGTTGCGCCGCCGCGCGTGTGGCAGGATTTGGCCGTTTGGCGCAGAGACATCAACGTCAGGCTGTCTTCTCAGTTAGCGCAGTACGGCCGCGGGGTTTGCGCCGCCGGTGCCCGACAACGTTTCGCGGAAGCGAGGGCGTCTTGTAGGCTGCCTCGTCTGGTCGCGAGCGCGGTTGTGGTCGACGGGCGCTGATTTGCCCAATGATTTGACAGTATGTTAGCGTGGGTCCGTTTGAGTGCACCATATCATTAGATGCGGCGTTGTTGTTATTTGCGTGTTTTCTAAATTCGTTTACACATAGATTTCGGCCTTTTTGCCCAGACGTGTCAGTGTGCCGTTTGCAATGAAAATTTGGGAGACGACCTCAGAATTTGAAGTTCTATCTAGATGGAAGCCATGTTGGGCCCTCAGTGCAATTGAAAACTGGACCAGACATTTCGCGCACCAAAAGCACGTTGACGCAAAAATGTGCGAACAAGAGCCACGGCAACGAGTCATTAAGACGGCCTTGCCGACGCC